GTACACTATTTATTCAATTAAGTATGATAACCTCAACAAATGTAACTTTTACAAAATAATTTGGATGAAATACGGATGAAAAAAGTTTAAAAAACCGACTGAGAGGCAAATTACTAAACATAAAGAAATTTGTAAGATGAGGAGGCACAAGAGTGTTCCTCCTACCATATGACCTGCCTGATGCATTTTGCATTTGTATGCTAATCACTAAGCAAACCTTGGAAACAACAAAGAAACAAGGATAGCTGTCGGACTGTAGCATTTTAAAAATGCTTACATTTACATAAGACTACCCTGAATACATGACAAAATGTGTGACTTCAGCAGCATTTTCTCTTGGTTTAACTGTATCCAGCCTATAAAAGTCATGGCCTTGGTGAAGTGAGAGAGCAGCAGGAGCGCAGTTTTCTACAAGCTCTCAAGAATGCTGCAGCACAAAACTTTACTCATATCCTGGAAGGGAAAGTTTCCAGAGGGGCAGCTGCCTGAGCCAATGCCTCACCATGCTCTCTTAGGAACACACTGCTCAGAATTTGTTGTTTTTGCTTCCTGCCTTTGGAGGTCATCCAGAAATGACGTAGACTGGTGCAACACTATCTGGTGATCCTCCCTACCAATCCGTTTGTGTACAGCTGATTATCTAAATCATTTTATCCAATGTGCGGCCAGAGTGAGTAACTGAAAACTGTTTGTACAAAGCTGCTGCCATGCGTTGGAGGTGGTTCCCCCGAGGCCATTTTTCTTTGTACGTCTCAAATGACAGCGGCTTTTAAAAACAGTAAGAAATCATTTGAGAACACACACTGAACTGAAGCCACATGCACTCCCACGCAGCCAAGCATGGTTTAAAGACGGATGCATAGTTTTGCGTTTGAATTTTGAGTTCACAGGCAGGTTTAAACAATATTTTTCTTTAGCTAATGAACGAGGTGTTTGCGCAGTAGCACTAGTCAGTCGCTTTGGTTGTGTGTAACGTGCTTGCAGACTACTCCTGCCTTTACAAGCAGGACACCAGAGCACCTGGTGAAGTCGTGTGGCACGAGAGTGTAGTTAACTGCACGTGGTGCCGAGTTGGACATAAAACTGAGCTTTCAGTGACTTTCAGATGAAAGCTCTCTTTTCATGACTAATGAACTACTGGCTTTTCAATGAAGAGAAACATTTTCTATTTAGACTTCAGAGCTTGCCCTTTTTGAAAATTAACATTGTGTGAATTTGTGGGCTGTGCAAGCTCTAAATACTTTGAGTCACTTCTAGATAGAGGACTGCTATTGTCTTATGTCAGTTATATGCCACAATTTATGGAGGAAATGCATATGTGACTTGGTATTCTAAAAAGAGAGGATAATACAGTCTCCTGCTTCTGTGTAGCTAAGGGAACACATGCGTTTGCCATGTGTACAGTGGGCAGTGAGGCCCAGCCAGGTGCTACCTGACCACATGGCACACTAAGTGCTGTAAAGAAGCAGAAGCAAATCTCAGTTTGATGATTACCAACATTTCTGCACTTGAAATGTTACTGCTGAATTGGAAATACATGGTTGGTGGTCTGGCAGTTGTACTCACACTGTGGCCGCATATGAATGCATCAGAAGAGGATTTGAGAAAAGTGTGGGTTCAGAAAACCACTTTTGTAAAGCTCTCTCTGCTAGCTGAGCTTAACGAGTATGGCCTTTCCAAGAGACTGAGGACAGCTTATACATGGGCAATCTGCTCAACATATTGTACTACAATCAGCTTTTTCCTTCTGCATCTCAAAAAAGCCCACATCTGAGATGTCATTTATTTTTCCATGCAAGTAGAATGAAAGAGTAAAGGGCAGCCAACCATTACAGAAACATTGTCACATAGTACTGGAATGGCCATGGGTTGCTACAGGCAATGTCAATACAATAAGGCTTCGTGGCAGAGAAGTGGCACTGTTATCTGAAATATTGAAGACTGCTAAATTTCTTCCCTGGTCCCCTTATAAATTTGTGTAATGCTTCCAAAGTCTGCTGCAGAACGTTTCTGTACACATGTTGTGTCCCCTTTGATGGCCTCCTGCTTTCCTTCCACCTGTGGAATAACCAGGAGATAGATAGATACCTACACTGCTTTCCAAGATAAATGGAGAAAAAAATTTCTCGCAGAAAATAGTAATTTAATCCTCTTCTCTAACCTGATCAGAACAATTCACACTAATTAAGTGTAAGAGAACTTGTAACCTAACTCCACTCAGTGAACAAATAGTTTTGATTCGTATTATCAGAGGAAAAATCATGGGCACAGTGACTACGTTAGATGCTTACCATAACACGAACACATTTGTGAGCTGGAGCATCACCCTGGGGAGCTGGTTCCACAGCCATGGTTCAATTCTAACCAAGTGCTCTGGGCTGTTTTAATTGCACTGGTTCATTGATAGGTTTGCTCCACAAAGGTGAATCACCATTTCCAACTGCTGCTCAAGAGAGAAAGTGTTACTACCAATAAAGCTCAAAGTCCGAACCACAAAGGTCCTACCCAGAATCTGAACTGAGAGTGGAAGTCCTCTGTTCCACAGGAGTAGAGAGCAAATAACCCACTCAATCCTTCCTGAAATTGAGATATAACTTTGCCCAGTTCTTACTCGTCTGAGATATGTGCTGCTTTGCTTCACTGTTTTTACTTTGAATTACACTTTTAATTAAAAAGAAATAAATCTGCTTACAGCTTGCTCCCCATTGTAAGCAGAATTAATGTAAGAGGCCAACATCCTCACAATACCCCATTCCAGGTAACAGAACTATGCCACAGTGAGTTTGGCTCACTTCCATGCAGTAAGGCGTAGCATGGGAAACACCACTGTAGTGGCAGAAACTGTAACATAAACACAGGAAAGGAGGGCCCTGCTAAGCAGCAGCTGACCTCTGAAAGCACTGCACATTTTCTGCCTCACAGCCTTGGTATGTCTCCACAGGTTGATGTGGTTGGTTAGCACTGAGTGTGAACAGTGGGAGCAAGAGATAGGACTGACAGACTTGTAAAACTCTGACTTACATCTGCTGAATCCCCAGCAGCCTACCTAGTAGCCACGTGCAACTGGTAAAATTGTAGACAAGATACAAAACAACGCGTCTGACAAGGCAGTCTTACCATAAGTAGTTCCGCTGCAAACCACAGAGCTATCAACATGCAGTGGGTTGCCTGCACAAATATTTCCTCTAAATCACAGATAGCTCAGAGTGATTATCTAACTAAGAAGGAACCACTGCAGAATAAAATTATAGGGAGAAATTCACTACTGTTAGCTTCACTTCCTTTCATACTGTGTTCCCTTTGTAACAAACCAGATTTTTTCCCCTGAAGTCTGTCAGCAATAAAGACTTCTTCCTGAGTGAAAGTGCTCTCAGGTTAGCTCTGTGAGAGCCCAACTTGGACCCAAAGGGCTCAGTACAGTGTGGAGACCTGGCTTCAAACCACTACAGTCACGTTCATATGCTGCTGCTTCAGGGTCCGAGGTGATTCACCTACTGGAAAATGGCCTCGCTGTGATGGTTGAACTGGTTTGGACAGTGCTAGCCAGGAGATCTTTCACATTGCTCTACTACACAGTGTCAACAAGCCCCTAGGATTTGGACTGGGGTACAGGTTCCTGGCATCCTTAACTCTTGGGGTTTTGTCTATAAGTAACCTTTCAGTAGCAGGAACTAATTCAATTTTCAAACCACACACATCAGCAGCAAACCTGGTACAACTTAATGCGTAGGCTAGAGCTAAACAGCAGCGTATTTTAAATCACCTAACGCCATTTTAGTGGTTGTTGAAATTCAAGTTGTATTGATTTTAGTAGACTGGTGGAAAAACTACGTTAGTTCAATTTGTTCTCTTCCATTTTGAAGCTGTCTACAGGAAAAGCTTGAACGGGTTCATCACATGGGCTGTAATGAATCCTGATGAATCCAAGTGACGTAATAACCAATTGGCTGAGAAACGTCACTTGAATATAAAAATTTTCTCTCTTCTTTTTTAAGACTGAGCAAAACTTTTACCTTGCAATTTTTCCCATTTTTTCATGCAGATTAAAACACGTAAGAAGCACTTACAGGATTCTCAGGGATAGTACGATGCACTGCAACTAAAAACTATGCTATACTAATTCCATGGGCCTCTCCTTTTTGGTGATGTTTCACTCCCTATCTTCTCCATTGACAGAAAACCAGCCTTTCAAGGAAGCTGGTTTTCCCTCCACAGCTCCCAGGGGAATTTTCAAAATTTTGAGCATTTAGTTGCAGTGTGAAAATATGAGACTTGTGTTCATGTGTTCTTGCAGAAAATGTCCCCAAAATACCTGGAATGTGAAGCATTTTCAGAGGGGACATATTTGATTGCTTTTGAATTTTTATGAGGCAAAAGGAAATAAGAATTGAAGGAAGGTTTATATGAAAGTGACAGTTTACTGGACTGTTACCTTTGCAAAATGTTCATAGATCAAGCAGCAGATTTTTTGATTCAGGAGAAAAACTAGATAATGAAGCAAAATGGAAACAGGTCCCTATAGAGCTATAAACACTGCCTCTATGAAAATGGCTTTATCACAAAAACACAGCTGGAATTTCCTCCATCACAATAATTCTGTGCTTCTCTTCTGCTCATAATAAATTTATATTCCAGTTTGCCTACAAATTTCTTAATTTTGCAATAGGAAAGAGATGGTGCATTTCTTCATGGAAGTTGTTAGCCTGTTTCCCAGGAACAACGTCATTAAATGCCTTCATGTGATACACGAGTGTACGGCCCCCTCCTTCTAGCTCTCCTGGATGATTTGATGACCATAGGTCCTTTCAAAGCCATGGCAAGATTAAGCCAACATGACACAAATCCACCCAACTGATGGCAGTTTAGAGGAATCTCCTCCCCTCTATTAAGCAAAATGACATCCCAGAACGGAAGCAGCACCGAGAGGAGTGTTTAAAAGCAGGGGTGAGGTCTGATTTTGTCTGCATGGGAGGCTTACAAAACCATTCTGCTTTGTTCAGATACTGCAGGAAATCTTCCAGACAGAACAGACAATCGTGTCACTGGAGAGATCCCTCAGGGCAAAGGAGCACTCCCTGAGAGTGGCCCAGACCCGCCTGGAGAGGAGAACTAAACGGCCAAACATAGAACGTTGCCACGATGCCCCTCAGTTTCAGTAAGTACAGCCAGACTCCTCTGTCACTTCCTTCATCAGCCACTGCAGAACAGGGATCTTAATGACAGTGTGAGTGAGTCTGATGCGATTCATCACATGGCGATACAAATTCAGGGAGAAAGCAGTAAAATCCAGGCAGCTACATTGAAACAATGGGCCATAACATCTAGTGTTCCAGGTGTGTAGTTGCCTTTGGAGTCCCTCTCCCAGGACAGTGAAGAGCTCCAGTGCTTGTTGGTGGCCGATAGCTTTTGGGATTCAGTCTCCTGTCTGAGTTGGGACTCAGGAATTCATTTTAATTCCACTCTGTATGAAACACAAGTTTGCACTTGAGGAAATCCCTCATTTTAGAAACATGTTATCCCAGACAAAATTCTGTCTTTTGATGCAAAAAACTCTCTAATGGTCAAGTTCCTTAAAAAGTTAATCACCAAAAGGAAGGAGGCAGCATCTCTTCAACTAATTCTCAGCTATATAGTGACTCTAGTATCACCTTCGTCCAGGTCAGCTCATTTGGCAGACGTTTGAGTTCTATAGCTGTGGTGGCTTCCCAGCGCTTGTTGGCATCCACCTGCTGATCCCTGTCCTATGAGCCACTGTACAGTGTGGATGGTGTCTTTCTGGCTAGACAAGATGGTGTCCAAGACACCAGCCTTCCTTCCCTCGTGACTGAAGAAGGCTCTTCTCAATTTCAATCCCATTTCTCTTCCCCCAATCCAGCTGGAACACAGAGGTGTTTCTAAAGAACCCCATTGAGTAGAACTTATTTGCAGGACTGTCTTCAAAATGCTCTGGGGGGGTTTCTCAAGAAATACTGCACCAGGGTTGCTCCCATAGCTGGGGTGAATTTCACAGTCCAGTAAAAGCATTTTGCATATTTTTAGGAGAACTAGAACACTATTCCCTTTTTCTTTTTGTCCCTATCATAATCTCACTGTATACCACAGCTTCACATCCAATGAAATGCAGAATGCTTAAACCGAGTATTTAGATTATTCTTCCTAAACAGTGTTTTATCAGCTCAAAAAGGTTCTATTCAAGCAAGGAAGTGGCAGGAAATCCTAGGTTATTGTACTGGCATCTTTTCCCTTTTTTTTAACTCCTTAAACCATAAATTGTACAATGCAATAGAACTTCTTTTCAGCCTCATACCTCCTTAATCGATCTTGCCACTTCCTTTGGCATAGCCATAGATTACATTTCTTCAACTTAATGCTCTGCTTTCCACAGCCATTCCCTCACAAAATACTGTTTTAGAGCTGAATTAATTTATATCCATTTGGATATATATAGATTCACATGGCTTTTCAAGTCACATCAATCACGCCTGTTCTAGATGCAGGAGTTCAGCTGTAAGGAACCACAACAACTGCTGATGACACTCTAGCCTTCACTTAGCAGTTATGCTGCGATGGAAGCTGAGAATTTGCTGCTTCGCTTCCCACCACACCACCAACTAGGCATGCGAATAAGCTTGTATCGGCATTGTATTAACAAAACAAACCAAGATGGCCTTCAATACGAACACATAACTCCAGTTTTATACTCACTCTGAGTCTTTTTCTCTCTCTGCGTCCTCCCTGAAGAGCTCTTCCACAAAAATGGCTGCAGCATTAGGATTGATAGCGGTCCAGTCAGCAGGATTGCATGTATCCAGGATATAAAACTGGGTTGATTTAAGATCAAGAGTATCACATTATCCCTTCTTCCCACACTTGCCAGTGATGCTGCTGATGCTCCAAAGGGTCTTGTCTCAAAAAGTGTGGACAATTCATTTGAAGTCACTGCAACGTCAGAATATCTTTGAATATTTTCTTCAATTAGAGTGAAAGGGAATTACAATCACATGCTTAAAACCAAGAAATACACAGGAGTTCTGAACTGATCCAACTCCCACTGGCTTCTGGGTTATAGAAGAGCTTCACAAGCTGTTGCACTGCTCTTCGGAGGATTTCAGGCTTAACATACACGCAAGTTTTTGGCCAATCTAATATAATTTCTAATATTTTAACCAAAATGTTTATGCAAGTACACTGTTGAACAGATGATGTGACATTGACAGATAATTAGCATATCCTGTTCTCCTTCCTCCAGTGCATATGGATTTGCTCTACCACAGCTCCCTAACCCAGACCAGGTTAGGTTGGATGCTTCAGCTGATACAAATCGTTGAATGTCATGTCCATTGTAACTGCAATTAGAAATAGAAATTCTGAAAGGGTATTGGAAATTTGGACACTTTTCTATCACAGTTTCTGGTGGAGCTCACATCTCAAATAAAGTGTCTTTTCTTAGAGACAAAATCCCATCTGAGAAAGTAAAACCATTTGCTAATTCAATTTTTAAGGATATTTTGCTTTTAAATAATTTAAGTGTATTTCTCTCAGGTGGTTTAAAGCAAGAAGAAATTCAGCCCAATAGCTCAACTATAATAGCAAAAGAAAATACCAAAGGAACCACTTCTTTGTAACATGTAAATGTTACCTGAGTTTGCTGTTTATTTAAAAGGAAGTACTGATCTTGGCACCCACTCTGTGGGTGCTGCCAACTTTGTAGCTGAAGGGATTAGACAGAAAACTAATTAACAAAGCCTAGTTTTTCTATGCTGAAACAACTGGGACTATCCCAAAACAAGTTAAAGGGGATTCTAGAAAAATGATTCTTATAGTCTATAGTGCACTGAGCAATTAACAGAACAGCAGACAAAACACAAAGCTGACAGTATCCAAGAGAGTTTACCAGCTCAGTGACTAGAAAAGATTTGCCACATCTCCTTTCATAAACCACTGGAAGAAATCTGGCTGGTATCAGCTCACAGGAAATCTTGGTTTCAGAGCTCCACCTTCAATGGCTATTCTGGCAAGTGATTCTTGTTCCGATTGACATGCTTCTGCACCAAATCAGGACTGTTTAGCACCCTGCTGCACAAGTTGAAGCTCTCGTGAACAACACTCTCCAGTAACACCCATCCCAACGATATTCTACAGGACCATAGGCAAGTGCTCAACACAGCCCTGCTAGCCCTAGAGAGGCTGTGCAAACGAGAGGCTGCAAGTCAAGAGGATGGCAATTAGAAAGAGGTATCACAGCAGAGTGGCTTCATCTGCTGTGGAAGGTCAATGCAAGCAAGAAATCATCACTTCTCAGAGGTGCTAGGCAAGCGAGTTTGAAAGAGGTTTCATATTGGTTCACCCCGAGACAGCTGTTCAAATCCTGCATGAAAGCGTGACCTGCCCACTGTCAAAAAAGGCACGTGGTTAGGGACTGCTGAAGGGATGGGAGCAACCTGTTCCTGCTCTTTTTTCAGCCTTACTACTGAGGTTTACACTATAGATGACACCTTACAGACCTTAAAGCGATGTCTGCAAGAAGCCCGTGATACTCTGCAGATGCTGGTCCTCAACAAATCCAAGCTGGAACATGAAATTTCGGTGAAGGCAAACTCCCTCTTCATTGACAAGAAGCGTATGGACGTGCGCAAAGTCTTCCCCAGCACCCCACGGCTCCTTGGCTACGCTTGAAGAGCAACCTTTGATATCTCAGCATGGGATAGAAAAGTTGCAAAGGTTGCGAAGATTTCCTGAAGGCAACGACTGTTGTCGTTTTCTGAAATAGTGAAATCCTCTAGAAATAAACTCCTGAAAATTAGTATCATGACTCTCTCCTTGGAACAACCTTGTCTTCTCAGCTGCACCTGCTATTCATTCAAAGAGAACTAGTAGACTTACTCCAACAGAATCAGACCACATGAAAATAACCAGACAAATATGACAAGACCTCTGTGGGTTAGTAGCTAGAGAAAACATTAGACTGAAATGCTGTCCTCCGACAGAATTAGCACAATACAGGATTTAACTGGTCAGTAGAAGGGGCCATCTGTGTTTCAGCCCTTGTCTGGAAAAGCCCAGTTTAAATGCTTAAGCCACCCTTACACTCTCCTCCTGTCTAGCAATGCTAATTTGGTGTTTGGAATTAGAGGAGGTTGAACAAACTTTATTCACAGAAGCTGAAGGGCAATTTCAGTGCAACCACTTCAGCTACAGGGGTAGCCTGTATTCATTGAGAGGGAATCTTTCCTGCTCTACCTCTTTTTTTTTCTTTTTAATTTAATTTTTCATACAATCATGTATGAAGAAAAGTTGTGTATATCAACTATTTGTGACTGATGTGGTATTTGCCTAAGTCTGATAGGTCTTACCCATTCAGAAATATGTACTATCATCATATCTCAAAGGCCTTCATGAGCAAAGGCAGTACCGTTGCTCTATTGTGACTAATGAGAAGTACAAAGTAGGAATGGAACCAGCACATGGGAACATGATGTGCTTCAAGTGCACTGAAATTGTCCTTCAGGCTGTAAGTCAAGATTGCTCAGCTTCCTCGTTCTCAACGGAGCACTCTAGTGTGGTGGAGAGTGGAAGGATGGAATGGGCTTTGAGATCAGACTTTTCTGGATGACAGCTGAAACATTAACAGGGCAGTAATCCTAGTGAAGGGTTTGAGGAAGAACTAGTTTTAACTAACGGTAAAGCAGTCTGACTCTTTCACACAAAATGGAGCATAATGGTTTTTGTGTTTCTTCCTGTATTTACTCACACTCATTTACAGAGTAACCAGCAAACTACAATTCTAGTAACTGAACTGTTTCCTGCTACCTCAGGGCCCTCTCTGCAGGGCAGCTCTAGGAACACAGAAAACGCATTTGACACTGGACCAAAGCCAAATCCGAAACAATGCCAGATTTGAAAGTCTCCTGAAGAAACTGGCTCTGTTCCTTATCCTTTGTTTTGTGTGGGTGGTGGCTTAATCGAGCTACCAACGACAGTAACATTGCTGAGGCCCACTGGGCTGAGCTGCGCTGATCCTTCCTTGGGAGTTCACCTCAGCTTTCCCTGAGCATGGCTGTGGCTGAGCCGTCTCACACTCGGTTTCTCTCCTTCAGTTAAAAAAGAAGTATCTCCTGGCCATTGTGTCAAACCATTTACATAGGGACGTTTCTAAAGCTTTAACAACATCTGAAACCATTTGGGAACACAGGATTGGGAAGGGACATCCAGGCCTACTTCTGATACTCCTTAAATGCCTCTCACATTGATTACACTGCAGCTTGATTTTCTAAATGAGGGTAACAAAATGGATCATGGGAGGGCAGGCTGCTCCATCCAGCAAGCAAATGCCAAATGGGGGCTTTTTGGGAGGCATTTCTCCCAGTACGGGGAAAGTTCTAGAAATTATTGGGTTTTGTATTGCAGTATCTGACGGCAGAGCAGTTCAAGAGATCCCAGTGGTGTGCTGCTGGAGATCGGAGGAGCTGTGTTACTGAAGGCTTCACTGGCAGTAGTCGTACCTTACTCGGAACCACTTCACAATGATCTTTGATCACAGAGCCCCTCTTGGGACATGGCTTTATGTGGCAGGAGTGAGGAGTGAGGAATCTCACTGTTTCCCAGCAGGGAAGACCATTACCACTGGTAACATCTTCCTCCCTCTCTATGCCTTTGTATGGAGGCAAAGGCGATTTTATCACTTGCCTCTGTTACTACCAAGCCACAGAATAAAGTACTTGATTTGCATTACATGTACTATTTTTACAATGTATGAAGAATAATATTTGTGTTGAGCTGTTAAATCTTGTCAGTAGTCCCACCCTATTTATCAAATACTGACAGCTGACCAAGCAAAGGAGTAAAAATTATTTGGAAATTTGGATCTTCTTGAAGCCTGCAAATATATTTCTAGAAGTTGGATGCTTTCCCAGTTCACACAGCTACTCTAATAGCTAGAAATAGTTTCTCCCTTCCTTATGCCAAGAACTCAATTAAGAAATATATAGCAGAAGGAAGGCACTTCTCAGAGAGCTGAATTCTTTTAACAGTTCTTGACAGAATAAGAAAAAATGGAAAAAATGTTTATCCGAAAACAATCAACATCAGTGAAGTCAGCCTGAATCAAAGCCCTGAATTTGAAAATTTGGGGGCTTTGGGACGGAGGTGGTGGGGCTGAACAATAGTTTTGAACATCACAAATTCCAGGTCCTTCCTGCCTGTGCCTTTGTTCAACGATGTTCTCTCCAAAACCTGCTCTGCTTTTGGGTGGAGTACTCACTTGGTACGTTGTCAGTGCAAACAACACTGAACTTGTTTGAACACAGTGTGACTTCTCCTAAGAGTGACTGCCTAACACCACGGATCTATGACCGTTAGGACTGCTCTGTGAGAGCATCTTTTTGCATGAGAACAGTAATTCCCTGAGACTCCGCTACCATCAACAAGAATAAATTTTTACAGAGCACTGCAAAACCAACAACACTATACACAAATCACCTTCTTCCCTAACTATAACTGACCAGAAGATATTAAGAATATTATCCTAGTGGAAAAAAAAACCCCAAACCTCAGTGAAGAAAGTGCTCTTGTCTTTCATTAGTGGTATCTATACATGCAGCACATTTCAGTTTGCCAATAGTGTACATCCTCCTTTTAAAAGTAAACATTTTTCTTCAGGCTTTCCTAAAGGAGGAGATTTCCATGGACTTGGGCTATAAACCTATAGAAATCCTAAAAGGCTAGAAGTAAGTCACCATTTGCTTCTTACAAGTCAAGGTAGATGGATAATGCAGAAAACCCGGACAGTGGTCTTGTTCTGCCTCTAATTTACTGTGTAAATGAATTCACACTCAGCCTCCAGAATGCAGTTCATCCCAGTTGTGATGGGAATATGTCAAAGGAAACCCATTTGTAACAATCATAAAAGCTACTCACCCAGATAAACCTGAGAATCTCTTAAAGAAAACCCCCAACAGAATATAAACATTCCTTCAGCTTCCCCCCCCCCTCCCCCTAGATCTCTCTTCTTATGAACTAGATCATTAATTATTGTACTTGTATGCAGCCACAGACATCAAGCAGCCAGATATACTGTATTTCCAGGTATAAAACCAGAAATGTAACACACAGTTCCATAATACTTGAAAGAGAAGATCTGTTTTATAGCAAATAGACTAAGGTAGAAAAGACCAAAACCTGTCCCTGACTGTTTCAAACAATGTGATCATTTTAGTTCCAGACAAGCTATTTCCTAAGATTATCTAAACTAGAGCTCATAAAAGTTTATGGACTCAGCCTCCAAAGAGAGTAAGAAAACAATGGACCTAAGTATCTTCACAAAGGATAATCCCAGTTCACTGCCACAAGGTTACTGGCTACAGCAAAGCCAGCTTATTTTACCCAAGTCCAGTAGTAGTTTATTCGTCTTTTTTTTTTTTTTTTTTTTTTTTTTTTTCCCAAAAAATCCCAACAAGGAAGCAGAATTTGTGAGGTGCAGATTCAACGCCTTGCCATACAGAATTTACAGATGGTGTCCACAGTCAATAGATGTGACGATGCTCATAGGACAAGCCTTTCCAGTACAGATACTCCCCTGGGTGAGACCTGGCATGTGCTTTCAGCACAAGATATTCAGGTGCAGATAACAGGAGGCAAGGAATATTAACCATGGAGACAAAAGAGTGCCGAGTTTGGGATTTACAGTTAAATACCATCACAGTTTGGTGATACAGTTGCACAATTGCACTTTCTCATAACATTACTGCACTTTAATGTCATTAAGTGGACAGCATGGGAGGCACCTCTCAACATCTGCCTTCCCACCCCGACCTGGCTTCCTAGTGGTGTATTTTGGCATTTCCATTTTTACCAAAAGTCAAGGAATGTCCAGTTCTGTATTTACTTACAGCACATGCAGGCCCAAAATCCACCTGGATGTGATCCTGTGCGACCTGCTCTAGGTGAACCTGCTTTAGCAGGGGGTTGGACTGGATCTCCAGAGGTCCCTTCCAACTCCTACCATTCTGTGATTTCAAACCAATGTCCTTGGGCCTTTTAAATTTGAATTTGATCCTAGACACAATCTGAACTCTTACACATGCCGAATCTATGCTACTACTTTTGCCTCAGAACACAATCAAAGCTTATTTTCATACAGCAGTAACGCATAGGAGCCCCAAGAGATCTGTACTTTTCACTCCAGATAGACATAATGTCATTGTCATTAATTAAAACGCATTATAAGACGCTCTTACACACAGAAATGGTCAGAATCAGCAGGTGTCCTGGAACAGTTCATGACTGCAGACAATGTGAGCTACAGGGTAGGATGGCAAATACAACAGATCTACAGACCATAAGGGATTTTCTGAGATGTTTTTCCCCAATAAATTACGGTCAAAAAATTTAAAGCATTATGATCATGCATTTCCCTAAAACAACAGAACTCCTGATGGCTTTTGGAAATCGTGGCAAAGTGCATTCATCTAAACTATGTTCAGCAGAGATGAGATTTAAAATGTCTGTCTCCTTGAAACCCGGTAAGAGAATTTTCTGTTGAATGATGGAGTTTTTAACCCACAAGCTGTCATGATACATGCTTGTCACTACACACAATGGTTTTGGCTTTTCTTTCGTCACTGTGAGAGAAAGCATGCAAAGCAACCCATTCTATAGAAGAGGTTCACAAGAACAGG